TCCTCACCATTTCCGATTGTACTTTCGCGTGATACCATCTACTGTTACATAAGCATCCTCATCCTCATGCATCGTGATATTACACTGATAGCTAACAAACTCATAATGCATAATAAGTTCGTGAGAATGTGCAAAAAGGATAGGGATGGGCCTATTTTTAGAGATGAGAAAAGAAGGCGAACCTCTGTGGTCAACACAGAGTACACTGTCCAACTATACATACACGTTTTCAAGTATTCTGGTCTAATAAGAAGTGATAACAAGATTGCCACTGTTGTCGGTTTGCTGCCACCACCTTCATTGTCTTCAACCATGCGGTTTCGGAGTCTTTTGAACCCCAGCTCGGAAGACGAGAGACACCTACTCTACCTAATCGCTCTGTGCATTTCGTCATGCCTCGTCTCCACATCATCTGCTGGTCTCCACGTGGCTTGTTCCAGTCTGCATCAGCCACTACAAATAAGGCGCACTGCGGTAAGTGACTGTCGGACATACGCAAAACGCATCCTAACCAACGGAGCCCATTACGCTGAATTCGATGCTACAGCGAGTTCTTGTGCGGTGCGTTCCCAAACACCCAACGCCGTACTCCTAAGTTACCTCCCCTCACTTTGCCCAACCTGGAACAGACTACGTATGCATCGATTGTCGAAAACTACTAAACGACGGATGTCTCCTACCCACAAATTCAAGGTCTCACAACCGTAAAGCAGAACTGATCGTGTATTGGGGCAGTAAATGAGATTACTCAACTTCAGTGAAACATCATGTCGGTGCCACAGGTGTTTTAGTTCTGTGTTCGCTGCTGGAGCCTTGGAAATGCGGGCGGTTATTTCCTTTGATGCATTACCGTTGTTCGTCACGTAGCTACCTAAGTACGAGAAAAAGCTAATTCTTGACCGTCTAGTTTCAGAACGGAACTCGGTGACATCCAGTCTTGCAGCATCACTTTGCACTTCGAAGACTCAGAGCGCATGCCGAACGGAGCAACAGAACTTGTCAATCTGTCAAATGCTCTTTATGCATTCTCCACACATTCGAACAGGCAAAAGATGTCATCAGCGCACTCTAGATCGCACAGTTTTTCTCCAGCTGCCAGTTGAATACAAACATTTTGAAACCACTTAGTGTGTGCTCCAGTATTTCGTCTATGACGAAATTGAACAGGAATGGCGAAAGGGGGCACCCTTGACGAACACCGCTGCTGGTTACGAACGATCTATTCAACTCGCCGTAAACTCGTTTAGATTGAAGAATACTGTGATCGTTGGTCAGTGGTGTGTATAATGCAGATCGAGGACTTAATGCAGAGTGAAAATTTGATCGATACAACCACGACCCAATCAAAAATCCTGCTTGTGGGTCGCGGATACTGGTCTTCTTAAATAGTGTCATACGTCGAATTATGACGGAATAATACTTACGTGATGATGATTGGGATCAACATTATTCCATTTCGTCTGTTCCACGTTGTCGTTTCAACCCCAACCCGGAAGACGAGAGACACCTACTCTACCTAATCGCTCTTGGCATTTTTTCGTGTCTCGTCTCCATGTCATCTGCTGGCCTCCACGTGTCTTTCTCCAGTCTTAAACAGCCACTGCAAATATGATGGGAACAACAATGCAGCACAATAGCGATTCAATACAAATCAAGGAAATCCTTTTATATGAAAGTAGGAATGGACTCCCATTCCTAGACGATGTAGCCAGCCATCTCACTTGGAATTCTTGATCTGTCACCACTGTAGGGTCGAATACATGGATGGATGAATCATGTGTGTGGCCGTTAGCCCTAGAGAACTCAAATTGATACGCTGTTTGGATTATGTAACCAAAATCCCTTTCTATTACGTCACTGTCATATGAACAAGCGCTTTTCTCTTCTTTTGGCCAAGAGCGGGGGGGGAGGGGTTAAGCGCTTGAATCAGTTTCCGTTGTGCCCAAAGTTCGGGTTTCATGAATCGGATGGCCGCACGCCTCCGCTGTGGCTAACATATGAAACTGTGTTGATTTCGTGACGTGTGCTGAGACTCGATAAACGATTGTGAATGCCGACCGCATGTCGACCAAGTTTCCCGTTTCTACCAAATGAACAACGAGTTCGAGTTTGACACAAGGGAATATGTTCATGTCTATTTACTTCTCCCGGACGTTTTATTATGATGCCCGCTGTAAAACATTGACTATAACGGTTTTGGCTTTGCTAGCCATAATCCATTTCTATCCCTATTTACTAATCCTCTTTCACGGTATTCATATCTGCTTTGCGATGTTGACCGCTAACGACTGATTATCTCACCAAAAGTATTTAACTGGACAGTGCTTGTGAGGTTCTTTGGTGTCACCTCCTGGGTGTCCATCTCTAGAGTTACAGTATTTTCGCTCGATTTAATTGACAAATTACTGGCTTAGGTGGTAAAAAGAATGCGATTAATTTGATTTAAATTAAATTTACACATTGATTCTCGAAATTAATGTTTAACGTTTTTAACCGCCTTAATTTATGCGCATTTTATCGTACTTTGATTACGAATATGAAGTTAAATTTGCCTGTGTTGAAAAAGTGTAATTCATGTATGCAACATTAAAACTCTAGGGTCTACTTATGTTAAAGACTTCACATCGGTTTTTCCTCTGCTTTATGAACCAGACCATAGTCTGCTGATTGCTCACCACACGGATCCATATTTTGTATGCTCGCTCTTTGGGCTACTCGTGAGTAGTTAAGTTGCGCGCGAACATTTATTTCGCTTCTCACTTCTGGTTCACTATTGATTTTCAGCCGAACGAGCTGCGCTTCGGAAGCGACATCGTGAAGCGTGTAATATGGTCCTCTCTCGACCACATCATTTACCGGTACTTCAAAAAGAACATGAACATGAACAACAGGTAAAATGTTATTTTCTCTGCACTCTCTCCATCTGATGTTTTTCTTTATTAATCTGTTCTTTCAAACGTAACCGATTGTCGAACAAACTCGTCCTCGGTGATTTGAAATCACTCCAGAGCAATACAGTGTATGTCACTAATAAAAGAGAACATTGTCTCTCGCGGGAGAAAAAATCTTATCATAGAATTCTAAGGCAGATTTCATCTTGTGGTCGAATGTGAAATTCACAATGTTCACATAATTCTTTGTTCATTCATCCGATCATCGAGATTACTCGGGATTTGGGTTGGTTTGGTGGGCCAAATGAGCGCCTACAAAAATTGTTCTTCCGAACACAGAGTGGCTCGTGCAAATGAATTCCTATCGTTTCCGCTGTTGCAAACCTACATTGGAATACAAACCTTAACAGTACCGAGTATTATTAAATATTATATTTCACACTTGTCTGAGGACAAACTGTGTGCCAAGCAAATCATGGTACAATAATCTTTATGAAAAAGAAAAAGCGCTCCATGATTTGCATTTGAGTTGAATACTGCCAGGTTGCCCAGGACAAGACAGGTGGATTTTCTTGAGGAATCCACAACCGGAACCTTCGGCTAGCTAATGCCTGACCCGCAAGGCAGCGGGGCGGTGTGTGAAAACTGCAGTCCATTGGGAGCCGATATCCAGTTTATCGGATCATAAGCCCTTTGGACGGGATCAAACATCCGAGGTGCCTAATACACCTCGATGTCCAATCGAACCGATGATCACTGCCACAACCGAAAAGGTATGGGTGTGATTCGTACGCCTCCTCTTGGTTGGTTTGGAATCAGGGATTTTGGCCGAATCCCCTAGGTGAACTAGCAGTGGTCCAATAACTCGGTTATAGCCCCGGATGTTGGCTTTTCGTCCTTTCACTTTGGTAGGAAGACACCGCCACGGAAGGCAGTGAGTAGGGCATCTTCGGCGGATGCTATTTAGGACGCTTGACCGTATGGGAGCATTTCGCGAGGTGCAAGGGACGGGTGACCAGCCGCATCCTCAGACACCCACCCCCGACCATACTGAGGCTTTCGGAGGCTACCGAGTAGCCTAGCTTGTCAGGCACTGAAATTTCACTGAACTTAAGTAAGTCTCACTGACCACTATAGGTCGGATCTAACTGGCAGCAGTCCTATCCTATGGAATGAGTGGACATAAATGATGAATTTTTCTGGGAAAAGCATCGTCCAAGTTTACTGCAGTTCGTTGAGTTGAGGACCAGTTTTAGACCTAGGAAGGGGATTATGGATACAATCCTGTGTTTCAAGAATTTTCCAAGCGCAATGGTCTGATGGACATGGTTTCGATGAAATCTGAAAATTGATCTAGTTCACTCACAAGTAGTGTTCTGACACGATGGAGGCTAATCAAGTCAAGTTTCTCGTGATTTTTACATGGAGCTTTTTTCCCCTCGTGAATTCGTCAGATAGCCTATTGATATCAAACCCTTCGGAACTTGTTCCTTGTCCAACCACCGCGACCTGAATTTCTGCTTTATTCAGAGTTGATGGTCAGCTGATCTAAGTCGCTTCCGGTTGCATGTTTCCCATTTCCACCTCTGTTTTATTTTAATCTGCAAGATAGTATGTTTTACTATCTCACTGTAGCTCGTGCTTGTCAAGTAAGGCGAGTAAGCTCTAGCATTTAGGAAGCGATGCGCGTTGATTGATTGATGTAATTAAGAGGCGTGCTCCTTGCTCACTACGAATCTATCGATTCGCAATATTCATCGTGGTGGCCAAAATTGGACATTTAGTACCCTCAGCAAAGATAGGGCAATATTAGCGAGAACTTTACCCGACCGAAGTTGTGCGCTTCAGTACTGCTGCTGTGTCCCGTTTATCCAAGTTAATAAGTACACGGTAACTTCACCAGTTCTGCTATTTGCAATGCATGCATATTCCCGTAGTCGGTGAACAAGCAGCACGGATTTGGGGACCAAAAGGAGTTCACAAAAACCGAACGTACAAGCAAGCGTAGTTGGTACATGAAATCAGCGTGCGATCAGATAGGATAGACAACTGACCAACGCATCAATGCGTGCATACTGTTCAATATCACCATTCGATTCACCGAAACGAAACAACCTTGTCATAACTAGAGCAGGTTCGTAAGATGTGCCTGCGTGCACACGTGACATTAAACAATATCACTTAATCAATCTGGGCACAATCATACATGATAAATGTTCCGGTTAATCGTGGGTCACAATAAGTGCCGTCATTCCTTGTGTTGTCATAGAAAAATAAACTGTGTGAAAAGGTCAGCAAACTTCAGTGCCCGTTTAATCAACGATGGTTGAATAAAATAAATTGTTTTTTCTTGAATAGATTGTCATTTGAGGAATTTATTCAGTATCATTTCTCCTTTTCCAATTTCGGCGAACATCGGTCACCATGGCAACCTATTTGATGACATGTGTAACAGATGCCCCAACCAACGTAATCTATAGAGGTCGACCACTTGCTACAGTGGACAACCGCCGTTACCTAAGACTCTGCGCCTAACCTCAGCATTGATCGTCCGGGTGCCCCATCAGATGCGTGCAGTGCTGCGTAGATAGCAGTGTTCAAACACCTGGCAATCTATCATTATCCTGCTTTTTATTGGACAAGTTTCTGCGCCGTATACCAGAACTGACCGAACTGATGCAGCACAGACTCGACCATTCACAGACAGCCGGATGTCGACACAGATGTCTCAAGTTGGCAAATGTCAATCGAAACTTCTGTATGCGAGCTGACACTTCATCTGTGATGCGTCCACTAGGTGAGATGTAGCTGCCCAGGTAACAAAACTTATCCACTTGCTCCATTACTTCCCCAGTTCGGGTGAGGTTGGGTGCTGGACCAGCCCAGTCTTGTAGTAGCGATTTACGCTTTGAAGGTACAAAACGCATACCGAACATGGCACTCAAGTTATCCAGAAATGCTTGCAACTTACCTGGATCTTCACTTGGCAGCACAATGTCGTCTGCATACTCTAGATCAGACAGTCTGTCACCTGGGAGTAAACAGATGCTACTATTCTCGCACGAGTATAAGGCTGTTTCCATAATGGAATCTATAACAAATTTAAATAGAAAAGGAGAGAGAGGTCAACCCTAACGAACTCCACTTGCCGTGGTGAACTCGGGCGAAGAAGTGCCGTAAGCTCGGAGTCGGCTTCGGCTATGAGTATGGAGGGATCGTAATATTGAAATTGGCTTCTCGGGCACACCTTTCAGAGAAAGGCAGTGTCAGAGTTTAGAACGGTTAACTGAGTCGAAAGCCGCTTTCAGATCCAACAAGATAGAAATGTTGGGTCTACGAAAGAATACCGGTGCTCCAGAGTTTGGCGAAGTGTGAAGATGTGGTCGATACAACCTTGACCAGGTCTAAAACCAGCTGGGTTCTCACGGGTGCACCGTTCACGTGAGGCAGACAATCGACGGAGCATAATGCCAGCGAGGAGTTTAGAGACGATGCTGATTAAACTAATTCTTCTGTGGTTTTCACAAGAGGGCCTGTCAACTTTCTTGTAAATGGGTAAAATGATCGATTCACACCGTTCGGTTCTAACCTGTTCGTTTTCCCATATTGAGCCCAGGATTTCCGTCAACTCCAAGACTAACGCTGAGCCTCCATCTTTGAACGCCGATGGGAACAGCCCATTCGGACCGGAGGCCTTATGCCTTTTGTGATAGCTTATTTCCCGGGAAACCTGCATTTCAGATGGAGGACTGGCATCAACTGGGAGCATTCGTCCAGTCGAGGGGGAGGCGATATGTCAAATGTCGATGAGGGCCAGTTGAACTAAGTCTCGAAACGTTCAGCCGATCGATCAAGACGGTGTTGCTGATCGTGAATCAGTGCCATAGGATTCCTTATTTACCTCGCTTACGCCTATTTTCCTAGGGCCCGTATTCCTAATTAGACGTAATAGATTGTTGAATCGACATCCTCCAGCGGTAACTGATGGCGTATAGGTCGATTCGGGTCCAGCCCTGGGAAGAGGTTGGCGGTTTCCATGTAAGGCATTGTTTCTGGTACGAGGAGTTCGTGCTTGACAGGAACAATCCGTGGTCCGCGTAGAATTGAAGTAGGCAATCTTCAATATCCGTTCGGTTGTCTGGAATTGCATGTGGTCCTCCAAGAAGCCTTTCTGACTCGTCCAGGGATCCAACTTGAGCATTAAAGTTTCCGGCGACTACTACGACGTCCGTTTAATTGAGCTTTTTGGAGTAATTGAGAATAATCCTTGTAGAATTCATCCTTGGTTTCAGGTGCACCTCCATCTGTCGGCGCATACACACAGCGAATGAGCATCATTCTCTAGCTGTTGACCCGTGCTGAACCGCTGAGACGTACAGCACATAATCGGCTACCGACTGTAATCCAGTCAAGAAGTGAGCGCTCAGCCTTGGCACTTGGCGCAATCCCCACAACAGCAACACTGCGAGAGTCGTATGCTTTATCGCTTGACACACGAAGGTTGAAGCTTTAGGATAAGGGGGAATCAAGAGAACACAGGAGGTGATTGAAGTAGGGTCTTTTATGCGTGTTTCATAGATACAAAATGTGTCTAAATTAAATGTTTCAAAGGTTCTAACCAAGGCAGATTGTTGAGTGATCTGGTAAAGTGTTTGGGCGTGGAACGCCGTCAAGTGAAAATGGAGTTTCGGCTCCAAAAGTCCTACAACTTCTGACTGTTTGGTCTTACTGGCAAAATGTTGACTGATATCTGATGAGTGGGGTTTATAGGAGACATCTGGGATTATTCGGGATTGAGAGGAGGAATTGACGGATGGAAGAGTGGTTTTTCCAGATGGGTTCGTAAAAATTTCAAAATATTAAAGAAAATAGTATGGTCATGCGCTTTGTTTTCTAACTCATTTCATGCGAGACAATTTATGGCGGTTTATTTCCAAACTACTTATTGTATTCATTGCGTAGCCAGTTTAAACAAAACAGTTTCAATTAGAATTGTTCTTGATTTCACAATAGCAGTACCGTTTGAACAAACAGGATTTTTCCCCAGCTGTGTCATTGAATGATTAAACTGGGTCCGCACATCGACTCACGAAGGGCAGTTTATCGATCCATCTTATCGTGACTGGCTTTTTGTACCGAACCGAATGCGGTTAATAACCGATGTGCTTTCTTATTTAAACCTACTCCGATTAACATCTAAAGATCTAACACTCTCGGAGCGAGGAGGTAGTCACGATCAACCTATCAAAATATTTTTGCATTTTTGTGTTGAACGATTGAGGTTTTATTCCAGAACTGGACATGAATCATGCGGAATCGCGAATAATTACGAGTTACTTCGAAAAATCTGGACCACCTTTTCCGTAGCCCTTTTGTAAGGGTTTTCACTAAAAATTGCCGGACTTGTGAGAGAACAATGTTTATCTCTTCGTCTCCAATAAAAATCTCTAAATTTACGAATCTCAATCGCACGAGGTATTACTGTATTAGTCATATTAGTCCGCTGGATATGAATCCGTTTCCTTTTACCTCACATGTAACTCACAGTTACTTGTGAGTAGTAATGTGGGATATTTTAATATTGGTTGATTTGAACCGACTATCCTTCTGACTTCACCTTTACGCACAATCCCCAGATTGTCGATTCAACCATACACTTGGAAGTACTAGACTCGTGTTTCGTTCTTATTAGAGCTCATCAGTAGTGCATATCCGTCCGGGCTATGAACTCCGGACCTTTAGCATGGAAGGCGTGTGCGTTACCACTGTGCCAACCAGCTCATACCCTGGCTGAACCGAATTGTCAACTCATGTTTTTTCAGGTGTCTTCTTCAGTGATAGTCAATTCATGTGGCCAGTTATCCCGTAACCTGCATGGAAGTCCTGATTTTGTGGGAGGCTTTCAATTGAAGTTAACAGATTGTCACCTGTGTCTCCCTTCGTTGCTGTCGGGCCCGATGAATTGACTGACTATCGTTGAAGTCGACACCTGAACAAACATGAATTGACAATCCCTTTTTATTTCCTCATCCTTTGCTCCTCAGTGATCACTATCCAACGACAGTTCAGTTCAGTTCAGTTTCACAACCATTAACCATGCACTTTCGTGCGCCGGTTTTGGTTGCTGTCTTTTGGTTGCACATTTGGATAAAAGAGCAAAATGTAGATTGGAATGTCGAAGCAAATTCAAGAGGAAAGTGGGGAATTCATATAGAGTGTTGTTAGGAGAATAACGAGTGGATGCACGAGCGCCACTGTTTGCGACACCCAGCCATATCAGTCAGTGTAGCTAACCATCGGTGACCATCATCCCGAGGTCCCCAGCCAGGAAGCCTAACGGAGCCTATTTGACCTAGTCTCCTGGTTAGGGGTTTCATACCCTATCCAACGGCACAATGCAGTCGGTCCGTGATGTACAAACAGTAATGTGCACATACCCCAAAATGATGTTATTACACTCCTTAGTTTTGATTTGTTTCCGCACTGTCGGTACGGTTGAATGTCGGCTTTATCGTTTTTCCCTGTCCACTTCCGACTGTCGAGGGCCATGCGAACCGCAAACTTATTCACAAATTGGCTCACATGCATGTGTGCACGCACGCGCAACGTGCGTATGTTTGTGTGTCACAGGTAGCCAATGACCTGATCTAATCAACCTGATTGACCTCGACGTGTTGGACACTTAGAACTGGATCGAAATTTTGCGGAATTCGTGCATGTACACAATATTAAATAAGAGAATTCGTTAGTAGGTAGGCATCTGCGGTTTACAGAGGTCATGACGGACAGTTTGCCGGCGTATGCACTCGTGGACATGGCTCCATGGCCAATCGTGCTGTGTTGACACACCGGTCTGTTCACAGCACAACCCTCAGTCCGTGCAAAAACATTGCAATCCAAATGGGCGTTTCGAAACACGCTGTTCCGACGTAACTAATGCGTGATATTCTCAATGGTTCAGCTGTTGACGAGAATTTGGAGTCGGATAGTGTCATTTTGCAAGGGAGGAACTGAAAATTGGTCAATCAGCCTTCCTATCACTCACACTCGCGGTTCCTCGGATTGGAACAGTTTTGTGAAATGATATAACTTATTTTCACAATGCTTTTGACGGAGTAACTATCAAAACACTAGGAAGTGAATTGTGTTTATGGATTGCACCTCGTGTACTATCTTAAAACACCCCCAGCTACCTAGGTATTTTTATATCACCTGAGTATTATTACCTCTCTTGCGATCATTCGGTCATTCATTCAAATCGTTGATGCTTGATGTGACAGAATTTTAAAAGGCAACAATGGGCCAAACTACCGCACATTTCTTACGTAGTCGAAAAAAGAGATCTGAAACGGTATGATTCAAATAGTGTCCATATAATCACCTTACTTGATGCCTGCGTCGAGGCGTCAACAAAGAGAGAGAGAGAGAGAACACTTCGATGGATAAATTCTTTGTCTGTAGTCATTGACTGGGAACCAGGAGATAATCATGAACAAGTGAGAGGGAGTTAAGAACTGATCGACATTATGACGGATGGATCTCGGCTTCGTGCAACCTGAAATTGACTGAATTGGTTAAACAGTCCAGTTTGTGATTAGGATATGGAATTCGAGTGGGAGGGGGGAGGCTGCGAATTCTAGAAAATCACAATAGAAACAAGGAATATGAGTGACCAAATCGCACTGAAGCGATAATACGGAGTGGGTCTTTGGAACACATAAACAGTCCGTTTTTGAGGTTCGACTCTTACGGTTACACATAATGATGGCATTCAAATCTGAATTGTGCTGGGATCGAGTGGGCGGGGGGAGCAGAAGGGAGCCAAAAAGAACCCACAGTAATGGCACCATCCACAATACAATAAGAGACAGAAATAAAATTTCACTGATGATTTAGATTAAAGTTGACTTTTGATATGTGATATGTACGCCCCAAGGGCCCTGAACAAATCTCTTCTCCAGTCAGGTTTCAGAGAACACACTGTATATACCTCGATGGGAGTCCAAACGCTGGTCACTTCTTATCACGTGAAGACATTAGCGTGGTATATAGGCCTACCTTATCAAATACGGAATGGAAGCGTATATAATGTACTTGGTAACCAGTTCGAATCCCACCGAAGCTGCAAATTGTCCTTTCCTGAACATTTGCTTTAGCTTGTGAACATAATTGTTTGTTTACACTTGAGCTACTACCGTGAACGTGTACTTATTTTCATTCCTAATCTGATTTGCCCCACATTATGATTCTGTCGGGGTTCTCGTTTCTGCGATCAACCACTTATCCCGATTATCGATGTGTTCCATCCTCTCCCAATTCTCATTCCCCCTTTTCTCCGTAGCATTTACAGAAGCGCCAGTTTGAGGCCATGCACAGCTTGATCACAAGAATAATTCACGCACTGGATGGTCGTGTTATGGAACAGCAAACTGCTCTAGAACGAACCGGATGTTCGGTTTTCGTGCGAACCACCAATTCCCGATTGATTCGTATCCAGATGCGTGTTCTGGACTGGATTATGCAGCTGTCTCGTCACCCATTGCCGGATGAGCTTCGTCGTTGGCCCCGGAGCACCACAACTTCCGCGGGTGGTTCGACCATGTGGCCACTTTAAGGTGGTTCAAAGTACTACGTGATCACATCCGTTGACCTCCTAACCCCCTTACCACAGTTTTTTCACATCATCCCTCCCTCCTCCCCATCTCCTACGGTGACCCTGATCTCTGTGCTCCCTTCTTCTCTCTACTCAGTTCGCATTTATGTATGTACCGTTGCTCAAACCTGTGAAACCCCCGTGCAAATTTTCTTCTATTTTTGGGAGATATCTTAGTACTGTATTCTTTTATTCAATTGGTAATCGAGTTTAAGATCAATTTTATGGAATTTGTTACGGTTTCTTTTCGCAAAACCTTTTCCAAGGAATAACAGATTTGCTCCAATTTTCGTAAACACGGTTCCGCGAAGAATTATTGCTATTACCGATTGTTCCTTCGATGATGCTTTCTAGTCGCGTGCTTTTCGTTATCACCCTCGATCAGTTCGTTTCAAGTCTGCTCGTGCCTCGCTCGCATGATCGTTTTTCCGTCCGAATAATTGGTCGAGATGAATATTTTTGAAAGATAACGATGATCATTCGAAAAGCATCATCAACGAGATAATGGGTGGTGGGTTCCCAGCTGGCCAATTTTATTCGTCTATCCGGCTGTTAGTTTATCGAATAGTTAGTTATTAATTTCCAAGCCCAGTATTGCCAAAGTCTTTAAGAACCAGTGAGACAAAATGCCTTTTGGAAAGTGGTTTCGGCTTCAAATAAGAAATGGAATCGGATACGATGGGCTAATCCAACCTTGATACTCTTAATTTTTATCTTTTTAATTTTACTTCCTTTTTATTGAATACGCAATGATACAATTTTCAGGAAGGGGGAAGCGGCCAATCAAAGGGCTACCATACAATACACAAATGGAGAAAGTTGGGCGGTGATGGTGGGATTCGAACACTCGTCCTCCGGGGTGATAATTGGTGACGTTACCACCGGGCCACCACCGCCACCACCATTCGCACACGGTGATAACCGTCGGCCGTGTAGCTCAGGGGTAAGGGTTTGAAGTCCCGACCCGACTGATCGCTGTTCGAGTCCTGACAGGGACACAGAAAATACGCACTGTTGACGAGTTCCAAACAGGACGAAACAGCTGTCCAATGCTCTTTGTTGGTTATCACAACATTTCCATCGCATTTGAATGCATTATCTCGTGGGAAATTAACGATCTCCCAAAGAGTGAAACCCACACCGAAGACCTTCAAGAGTGCCTGGTGCTTCTGGACAATTGAATGAGCTAATCCAAGCTTGATACTCTAAAAAAGAAATGGAATCGGCTTTATTTTAATCGAGTTTTTAGGCCACGAGATTGCTGGTGTTTGTGCACATGATGTGTTTCTTCAAATGATGATGTCCTTTTTGGCGTAATTCAATCTGTTTGACTTGAATAAAATTGGCTTTCACCAGAGACCACAATCGTTAGTGTCGTCGGACGCAGTCGGTAATCTGCTGGTTCTCGTGGAATTCTGGTCGAAATAGCATCTAAAGCGAAGGAAATTGCATTAATTCATTGTATCACATTTTCGAAACCATACCTCGTGTAAGGATGTTGTCTGCCATTGCGTTAACCAAGGTGCCTAAAACAGAAGTGTACTACGTACACTGATGGGAAACATAAAAACCATTTAGACATTGTGTTTCACTTTCATTGTGTGGACCTCAGCACTGGCTGAAATCGCCATCTTTCGGCTACCCATCTGTTCAATTAGCGAAGATAGAGTGAGTCAAGCCAGGGCAAAGCAATATGACATGGAATTATTTTCTGACAGTTCCAGTTTGTACAACCATTAACCATGCACTATCGCGCGCCGGTTTCGGTTGCTGTCTTTTGGCTGCCCATTTGGATGAACAATAGGAGAAAACAAGAACGTTGAAAGTATGATCGAAGAGAAAATTGAGAGGTTCAGTGGACTAATGATGCAGAGAAATTAAGATTCAAGAACACCAATGTTTACCACACTCACCCATATCATCCAGTGTGTTTAACCATCGGTTTCTATCATCCCGAGGTGCCCCTCCAAGAAGCCTAACGGGACCTAAATGATCCAGACTCATGGGTAGGATTTCATACCCTCATGTCAGGTCTTAGCTTGACCAACCTTGGCTTTTTCCACCCACTACCTGCCTCGGCAAGCATGGCTTGCCGTGGCAACCTATTTGGTGACATGCGTAACAGATGCCCCAACCAACGTAATCTATCGAAGTCGACCACTTGCACAATGGGCGACCGCAGTTGCCTAAAACTTTGCACCTGATCGCAGCATCGATCGTCCGGCGGCCCCACCAGATTCATGCAATGCTGAGTAGACAGCGGTGTTCAAACACCGACGATCTTTCTTTATCCTGTTTTCTTAATGGCTCAGTAACTGACCCAAATAGCAGAACTGACCGAGTTGCTGCAGAAAACACTCGACCCTTTACAGACAACCGGATGTCACGACGGCGCTCCGGAGTTAAACAGTGATTATGTTGTTCGTGCAAAATTTCTCTAGCTCTGTTACTCAAACAAATTATGAGGTTATTCTTAATTCTAAGCGGTATGAAAACTGTAGGAAGGAATACAGTGTTGCACTACTATGTACCGATGGCTCCATCGATTTATGATTGTTACTACATTGGTACACCGTTAATTGTGCCAACTTATTTCGTTTCTGTCACAACAGGCAGGTTTTGATGTGTAATGTTGTAATTCTCAAATTGACCACGAACTAGGGGTCGATGTAAGATTTTGGCAGACCATTGTCTACTTTCGGCATTAACCCGTCAGCTCCAACGGGACTCCCGTCTCCGTGGTGATGGGATCCATCAAGAAACCTGCATTCTCTTTAGCCCGTAGCAGTGTAAAAAAAGCTAAACCGAAAGGGTGATGCTGTGCACCAGCTGGGAAAACAATTTTCTGTAGTTTGAGCAACTAAATCTGCGAGCCGTTTCAACTGATCCACACAGTGTACAAACAAAAATAGCCCCTCCTCCCGACACACCCAGCCAAATCACACTATGATGCATTCGAAATTTAGCAGTCTCATAACAACAATCAGGCTCAAAATACTTCATCGATTCGAGGATAAATTGGAAATATAAAACTTCAAGCAGATATGCTTACTAATGCG